GTCTTGTAAGGATCACTATCTTGTTAAGATGAGGTTTTATCAGATAATACAATTTGTAACCAATACATTTAACATGGAATTAGTTTATCACAGCTAACCTGGTTCAATGAAAAGTTCTCTTTCTGTGCAATAGCTTTAAAATTCCGTTACACAATTAATTACCTCAGCTCTCCATTTCATATGTGTGGCCTTACACAAAGCCTTTAATTGCTTTGAATAGTCTTAAGGGCTTTTTAAATGTATCCTACTTCTTAAGTACATGTGAAGATGAAGGAAAATGCATTATTTTATCTACATAAAAGAATTTTTTTATTATCTTTGCAATCAGGAAAGTGTATATGTGATGTCATTTACCATCACCATTATGAGAAAGCTAGATTAATTTACATGTAGGTAAATAAATATATATATAATTGTAGCGACAGTAATACTTTCAACACCTGTTCCCATCAATACTTTTAATACCTGCTGTTAATTAATTGTAAAAGGAGCGTATTTCATCCCTTCCCCTCTTTCCACCTGCACAGTCTCTGGTGGATGCGCTCACAGCACTTTACCGATAGTAAATGCGTCCAGTAGGTAGAATTAGGCAGTAGGTAAAATTAAAGAGTATGGACGAAGCACCAACAATATCATACGCTCTGAGCACTGAAGAAGCTGTCTGAAACAGAAAAGAATAGCACCGTAATGAATGTGCAGTGCTTTCAAATAAAATTCAGGATTGACTTGATTTTCAGTCCGAGAGACTCGTGTTTGAAACATTATTAAAATGTATGTTAAAAAAATAATAAAAAATTTTTAAAAATTAAATTAAATTAAAAAAATTTTTTAAATGTATGTTAACCTGAAGTTGTTAGTGTGACAACCCCACAAAAATTCCAGAGCATGCCTGGCCAAAGGAGAGGTCAGATGCATGAAGGTCATAGGTGATCCATGGAAAACAGGCTGCAACATCTGCTGTGTTTAGTTGCCACTTCTGAGGCTCCTACTCATGGCAACCTTGTATGTGACATAAGTAAACATGGCACTTTCATTGTGTTTGGGGTCATTGTTGGGGCCATTATGCAACCCAGCTCATAAATGGTTTTCCACATTCCAATGAAGCTATCCGCAGTGCTAACATAACGTTCAGCGGCAACATAGATGCCTAACGCAGTGTGATTTTGTGTGACGCATGTACTAATTCATAGTGACAGGTCACCTTCTATGTCCATAGAACACAAGATAACTGTGAAATGTGCTCTTCCAACAGTTGGATCTTGTATCAATAATACCATTTGATGTTTTCTACCTCTTCTTTGGGTTTAATCCGATATTTAGAGCGAATAGGATGTTAAAGGTAAGAGAATTAAATTTAACTTTTTTATGCTCATAGAAACCTTGGAATGATTTCAATTTTCCTAGTTACCAATATTTGTCCAAATTGACCTCCAGTTATCTGCTGTTATAAATGCTATAAATTGTCAAAAACAATAAAAAAATTATCATTGCATCTACTGATAGGCATTAGTATTACGTAGTTATTTATTTTCATTTTTGTCATCAAAGATACAAATGTTTTAATACCTCTAAATACA